TTTCACTTTGACTCCTCTTCTCTGGCCCAAATCACCCACTGTCCTTACCACTCTTACTACAATATGGTCTCTAAACTAGTCATTCTCAACCTGGGGCAAATTTGACTCCCAGGGTACACGTGACACTGTCTGGAGACATTTTTGGCTGTTAAAACTAGTAGGGAGCATTACTGGCAGCAATGGGCTGTGGCCTAGGATGTTGGTAAGGGTGCTACAAGGCACAGGACAGCCCCCACAACAAAGAATTATCTGGCCCAAAAGGTCTAAAGAACCAAGGCTGAGAAACCTGCTCTAGAAAGATCATTATCCAGGTCACTCTGCTCTGCATATGCTATGGCTTGTCATATAAAGCACAGTGCTAAGAACCCAACATGCAGTACCTACAGGGATAGGACCTGAAAGAGCATAGAACATGGGGGGGATCCTTTCTCACTATGACAACAGGATCGACTGTAGCAGCTGAAGCACCCACAACACACGCCCCCCTCCCCTCCAGTCTGTGGTCAGGGAAAAGCTATGAATCCTATTGAAACAAACTGGTCTCAAGCAGATGACTAAGAAACAAAAACAAAGACATAAAAACACAAATGCATACCTAGAAGGAGGTGGAGTTCCCTCCAAGCATCTCCACAATATTTTCAACATGAAAAATTGAATCAAATTTATTTCAGTTTTCCCTACAGACATAATTATAGATCTTCTCTACTAAATTTTTGTCACCTGAAATTATGATAAAATGCCTTTTAAAATTTTTATCCAGGCCACTCCCAAAAACATCAGACAGGACAGACTAATGTTGATCCATTTCTTAACACTTTTTTGGTAAGGTTGTATTGACTAGTCCATTTTTTTTTTTTTCAACGTTTTATTTATTTTTGGGACAGAGAGAGACAGAGCATGAACGGGGGAGGGGCAGAGAGAGAGGGAGACACAGAATCGGAAACAGGCTCCAGGCTCCAAGCCATCAGCCCAGAGCCTGACGCGGGGCTCGAACTCACAGACCGCGAGATCGTGACCTGGCTGAAGTCGGACGCTTAACCGACTGCGCCACCCAGGCGCCCCTTGACTAGTCCATTTAACTGTAGCTTACATTTATTTACTTGATTAAGGAAACACCAGTTTTCTGGTGTTTCTTTTACTACAAAGTCCTACCAAACCTTCAAGAAATAGGTTAATTCCTATTTTATTCAAACTGTTCTAGAAAATGGGAGTGGGGGAGAAGATGGAGCCACCCTTCAGCTTATTTTATAAAGCTAGTATAATCCTAAAACCAAAACCTTTCAAATATAGTCCATGAAAAGAAAACTACGGAAAATAATCTCATTAATGAACACGGATGCAAAAGTCCTTTAAAAATTACTAAACTGAATCTAGCTTTGAATTTTATATTTTATAAAGTGACTGAGTTTTGGTTATTCCAGGAATGTAGGATGTTTTAACAGAAAATCTATTAATGTAACTCACTACGTTAGTAGATTGAAGAGGTGGGAAGGAGTCAGGAATGGACCACAAGCACACAGAGAAATGTTCTTATTCTTGAGTAGCTTTTTCTGTGTAATAAAACCCACAAAATTTCTGTGACATAAAATAAGCATTTATTTTTTTATACCTCTTGGGGTAAGCTAGGGTCAGCTATTTGAGGTCGGGCTCAGCTGGGCACCTCAGCTTTAAACTGCAGGTCTGTATGTCAGCTGGGTGACTATATATCCACCTGACTCTCATTATTCTTAGACCAGCTGGCTAGCCGTTACAAGTTCAACTCATGGCAGTACAGAGTATTAAGAGGCTGCATTCAATAAGACAAAGATGCTTCAAGCCTCTGCTTGCATAATGTTGCCATTATTCTATTGGCCAAAGCAACCTGTGTGGCTGAGTTCAAAGTCAAGGAATGGGAAAGTATACTCTGCCTTTTATGGCACAGATGCAAAAAATGAAGTACTGAGGCCCAAGACTTAATATATCACAGGGCATGTGAATATTTTATTCCTTTTAATGTACAAATATGATATATATGTGTAAATATACCAATTGGCCCCACGTGTGTGTGTATTCACATACATATACACTAAATTTATTATGTACAAACTATTTTATAATAAAAATTAAATTCACACATTAAGCACACTTTGGGACCTTTCTTATTGACTTCCTTTATAATCTTATCCAAAAAGAAAATATAAGTTATTAATGCAGCAGGAATTGTTCTTCATCTCTTTCACCATAACTTTTCATTCTTTTGACCTTTTCCAGAAAAGGATTTAAAGAGGTTTTACAAAGTTCTGAGACAAAATCAACGTATAATAAATCAGAAGACAAGGCAAAGGGAAAATCAGGTTACCAAAGCAAGATGGGCCTGGAATGGCATTAGTACTTGGCTGGATAGTCTCCATTTGCTCCTTCTGATCCTTTTTCCCTCCTTCCCTACCTGGTCTGTCCTCCTTGAAGGGCTCCCCTTTCTTGGGCTTTTCCTATAGTACAGGTCTCAAGGGGTCTGATGACCACTGTGTCCTCTTGTTGCTTGAAGCCCAGAGGCTGGTAACACTTCCTGTGAACCATCCCTGACTGGCTCCCTTAATCATGTCACACCTCTGTAATAACTCCTTCATGAAACTCTCCCTACTTAATCTGTTTGGAAGTGTTATTTTTCCTGCCAGGGACCCTGATTACAAGAGCCCACAAATTACATGCCTTAAGTGTAAATACCCACTAGAAGTAGACCATAAATATAGCTCTAAGGTCTCAGAGTGATTATCAAGTGGGAAACACAATCAATAAAAGAACCTCCAGTCTCTCGAGAGAAGCAGGCCTACTCCAGACACCAAGATGGGCAAGAAATTTTATCTGTGGTTTCTCTATCAAAGGTCATTGTGTTATAATGACCCCATTCTTTTCTGTCTTACAAACCATCTCTATTCAGGGCTCAGTCCTCCAATATCTTTCCTCCTTATCCACATTCACCTTCTATTTGATCTCTTTTAGTTTTATGGCTTTAAATATCATACATGTGGATGATTCCCAATATGTTTCTCCAGTCCTGACTTTTCCCTGAACTCATTTTCACCATCCAATTGCCTACACTGGATATCCAACAAGCATCTCAAACAAGCATCTTGGCATGTCAAAAACAAAGCTCTCCATGTTCATCCCATACTCCTCCCTTCCTAGTCTCCCCTCATTTCAGTAGAGGGTCCCAGCACCATTCCCTTGGTTGCTCAGCGTATGTGGTCAGGAGGGAGAGAGGATGGCAGAAATCTATCATGCTTGATTCCTTTTTTGCACATTCCACATCCAATCAATCCACACATTATGTGGCTCAGCTCTTCAAAATATATTCAGAATCTGACCACCCCCATTACCACTACTGTAGCCCAAACAGCCAGTCTCTCTTGTCCTACTGTGCTCCTAACCGGTTTTCCTTCTTCTACCCTTGCACTCTTCCAGGACCCCATCTGAAGCAGCCTGTGTACTACTTTAAAAATGTCATGTCATGTCATCTCCTATTCAAAATCTTCCAATCACTACCATCACACTCAGAATGCAATACAAAGTATTCACGTTGGCCTATAGGGCCTCACATCTGGATATCTGCGAGTATTTATTTTCTACTATTTTCTTCCCTCTGCACTGGTTACACTGGCCTCCCTGATGTTCTATGAGCAAGTCAAGAGTACACTTAAGGTCTCAGAACCTTCGCACTTGCTGTTTCCCATCACTGAAACATTCTTTTCCAGATACCTGCATGCCTCACTCATTTCACTTAGGTCTCTGTGGGAATGGCAATTCCTCAGAGAAGTCTTCCCTGGTCATCAGCTGTAAATAGTCCCACCATCTCTATTCCTTACTTTATTTTTCTTCATAGCACTAGTCAGTATCTGACATTACATTAAATATAAATATGTAGTTACGCATTTGTCTATTTAGAATGTAAGTAAGTGCTAATAAAACGGATGTATTTCATTCATCCCAGCATCTCTAGTGCCAGACACAACACTTGACACACAGCACGGTCTTGATAAATATTTGTTAAATGAATGAGACTCCATTCTACTTCATCTAGTTTCTTGACTCAAAAACTCAGCAAGATCCAAGAAATACTTGAGTCTCAATTATGTGAGTGGCACTTCGCTAGATGCTTAGAGCTTTAAAAATCTAACAGACACCTGAGTCTTTTGGGTGAATAGTGATTGGGAGAGGGGATAAGGGGCTCCTCAGTGTACTAGAAACGTTCTTTTTCTAGATAATACAATACTTACAGAGGTGTATTCATAATTACAAACCTATTGAGCCCCACACTTAAGATTTGTGTATTTTAAGTTGCACACCGATAAAAGTGTTTTTTTCTTAAGTCTCTGACCTATTTAGACACATCGAAAGGTAGTTTGCATTGTGGTAAAAGCAGTGACAATGATTTGTATGGCCTGCCTGTCTGCTATGTGAGAGGTGAGTCACCTCCAAGTGCTAAGATGGGCGTATCAAAAGGAAAAGGGGAGACTATACTGTGTTCCTTTTGGCACCAGAACCTCCCAGATATGATGGGCCTTCTCTAATGCCCTGGGACCACCTTTTGAAACTGGCCTGCAATACTAGCGCCTAACTGCTAAAGGGATGTTCCCTTTAGATCCGTGAAGTGAGATGGAGCACTGGAGAACTTTCCTCGGAAGAGCCCGCGGAAGAGAGGGGAACAGTCTTTATGCTTTAAAAAATTTTTTTTAAAGTTTTTATTTAAGTAATCTCTAACTCAAGGTGGGTCTTGAACTCTAACCCTGAGATCAAGAGTCGCATGCTCTTCCGACTAGGCCAGCTAGGCGCCCCTATGCTTTGGATGCTTAACCATTTGCCCTGAGAGGCTGACACTCCGTCCACTAGCGTTTAGAGGGCATTATTAGCTGTACATTCAGCCCAACGAACGTCACAAACACTGGTGCTCACGGAGTCCCTGGCCCCCAGCACGCACGCGCGGCACAGAGCCGCCGCTACGCAGGCGCACTGCGGCCAGGCGCCGGGCAAAGCGGAGGGCAGGAGCCCGGCCGGCGGGTGCGCGCGCCATGGAACAGCGGTTAGCCGAGTTCCGAGAGGCCAGGAAACGGGCAGGGCTGGCGGCCGAACCCAACACTTCGAGCCGGAGTGCACAAACCTCAGGGAAGAAGGCGGAAGCAGCTGCGACTCCAAAGGCAGCTCCAGGCTGGCTAAAACGGTTCCTGGTGTGGAAACCGAGGCCCGCGAATATCCGGGCCCAGCCCAGCCTCGCTCAGGTGAGAGGAAGGCCTCGCCCCCCGGGACCTAGCTTCAGGGACGCTGTCGTGTCCACCCAGTAAAATCCGGCTGAGGCCACACCCACTGCCCGCCCATCGCGTGGCGGCATTCAGGCCACGCCCCCACCGAGGAGCCGTCCCCGCCCACCACGCGAAGGAGCGGGAGTCCAGTCCCCTCCTCTGGTTCCCACCTTCGCTGGCGGGGCGGGGCTGCCGGCGCCTCCCGACTGTTGAGGGCCGGAGTCTGGCATCTCGGGCCACACGTGTCTGCACTGATCCTTCGCTTTGACATTTTCTTTCCAGCCCGCGACCCACGCAGATCCTGATTCCGGTCGGGAAGCGATGGTCTAGGGTCCTGGAAGAAAACACCTCTGCCCTTGAGTTACTCACAGCGCGTTGAGTTATTGTGATGCCCTGTAGCCTCCGGGAACTTTCTCCACCACCGCTTTCAGTTGCAGCCCTCCGCTAATGGAGGGTAAAGGTCAAATTGGATACTGCTAAAAAGTGGCAGTAATGAAGGCTTCCTTTCATTTCGCACCTGGGACACATGCAGCCAGTAACCCAGAAAGCCTGTGCTTTAGAAATAGCATTTGAATACAAACGTGCAAAAGTGTGGTTTGTGTAACTGCCAGAGGCCGCAGATGCTTGTGCACACCTCTATTAACTAGGGAAACTTACTCAAGTTCTCTGGTGAATGTTCAGGTGAAAGCATTATTTAGATTAGTATGATAGCCTTTCCACCCTTTGATTCTTTAGTAGTCTCTTAATGTTCAGATGAACTTGGTATTTTCATTTCACATCTTGTATTTTCATTTCGTTTTCACTCAGGAGTAGAGTGGCAAGGTGCCCTGTGTGGGAGATTAGATTATCTATGTTGGAATATAGGACACAACATGGAGGGAAAATAGGTGCCTTGAGACAATCTGTGACAAAGCCTTCCTATCTCAAAAGTGTAATAGCCAAAAAATTCCTTTTGAAAATGAAAATGTATTGGAGCAGAAATGTACCTTACTCCTCTTAAAAGTATTTCTCTTAGTTCATTTATTATTGCACAACATCTGGTTTTAGGCAATTTTTTTAAACCAAGGAGAACTTATGGTTACTCAGTTTTGATTAGATACTATTCTCCATAACACGCAGGGTTCCATCAGACTTGCAGAAAGAGAGTGCAGCAGGGTTCAGACAATCTATTTCCTTGCATGCGGTTTATCTCAGGATAACTTCATTGTTGATTAGAACTCAGTGAGCACAATTGGTTAAGATTTTAGAATCTACTTCCCTTACCCTTTTTCCTCTCCACAGTTAAAAAACAATGTCTAGCCCACACAATGAGTTTTTGCCTGTGTGTCTCATTTCCAAAGGAGTATGAGATCATTGAATTGGGCCCAGAGAAGCTGAACTTGGAGAAAGTTTCCATTATTAAAAACCTAAAAGCTGATGTCCCGACAAAAGGATGACAGGAAATGCTGGATCTCCAGTTGTTCTTATTAATTACTCTGTTTTTCATAAGGGACTCTGTCTTAAGCTCATTTTCATTGGCTCAGTTATCATTCGTGGGTTTGCTCTGGTGTGAAAATTCTCATTAAATTGTTTTTTTCTTTCTCCCAATTTACAATCCATCTCTCTTAATCATTTTGGAAACACACAGTGGCTTGTCAGAAATTTCTCTAGCCTTCTATTTGTAATTGCTTCTTGGTTGTCATTGATAAGGAAGCATCCATATCCTCCTTCCTCCACTCTCGAATTTAGCTTGAAGAAAGCAGTCCCCAAGATCAAACATTTCTTTCTGTGACAAGCTTGTTCCACATTGGGGCCAAAATGCTTGTGACTTTTTTCAACCCCACAGAAGCCCCCTGTCTCCCTGCCCAGGCATACCCTGCAGCAGTCCCCGGCACCTTCTAGCCCCAAGGTATCCTCTCTCATCCTGTGACTCTGCCCCTCCAGCCTTGGCTCAGGCTGACCCACTGCTCAAATGCTCTCCTTTGGAGTCACCTGGCTAAACACAGCCTTTGCATCACTCCCTCAAACCCAGGAATCACCTTTTAATTTCTTCCCTTTCCTTGCCATCATTCATTCATTTATTCAGCAAAATTATATCCTGTGCCCAGTCTGTTCCAGCTACGGTCCCGAATCTGGGAAACAGTGGGATAAAGGCAGATGAAGCCCTGTTCTCACAGAACTTGCATTTGGGGCAGCAGATGATAAACAAAAGAGCTGAATGATGAATGCTATGAAAGGGGGGGGAAGAACAGGATGCTATGATAGTGAACTGGGGGTGGGAGGTGCAGAGTGCTACTTTAAATTGGGTGGGCAGGGAGGACCTCCCTGAGGAAATGGCATTTCATAAGAAGAAGCCACTCTTCGAGAAACCCAGGACAAGGACAAGGGCACATGTGGTCACATTTTTGCTGAGATTTGTAGGAGAGGAGGGAACCATCCAGGTGATGTGAGGGGAAGGGGGCATTCGTCTCAAAAGGAACCATAGGTGCAAAGGCCCTGAGGTGGTAAGCAGCTTGGTATTTGAGAAATGGAAGTATTTGCCCTAAACTATGCCTCTATGTGTTGTGACGACCACAAACGCTTCCATACACAGCTTTTATAGCAGAAGTCACACTGGTCCTAAAGCAAATGCCAAAGGAGGTAGAGGAATTTCTATATCTCTCCTCTTGTTTGTTCCCTTTGCCAGTTGGTTTGACCCATTCCCCCATCTCCTAGCTCTCTAACCCTTCCCTTTACCATTCCTCATAAAGGCCCCTAATTAAGTACAAAGAGCTTTGGAGGGAGGCTGTGCTGGGATCCTACACCAGTCTCCTCCCTATCACTAGCTGTGTGACTCTAGGGGAGTTACTTAACATCTCAGTGTTTCCCTATCAGTAAATTGGGATTAACAGTGCTTATCTCCTGATTATGGGAGATGGGGCGTCTCAAAGGTGTGCTATAAATCGTGGCCATAAGCATTATTCTTTTTATACTCCTTCAATGATAAATTCAGTTTACAGTAAATTTCAAGTTGTACACATTCAAAATGTATTCTGCATCCTTCAGTCAGTCATTTCTCTCTGACTTCTGTGTCACCACCCTAGTTATGCCTGGCCCTTCTCTCTCACTGAGCCTCCTGCGTGAGCTACTCACAAATTCCCTGCTTCTAGCCTTGTAGCCCATTCTCTACCTGTCAGCCAGAGTAGTCTTAAATATAAATCAGATTATATTAGTTCCCTGCTGAGACTTTCAGTGATTTCTCTATTGTGCACACTGGTCAAATCTGAAAGGGACATTTATTTACTTAACAAACGTGTGTGGGTCAGGAGAGGGTGTGTTGCTGATGGCATGTTAAGGACTTTTCCAGTCTAACAGAAAAGGTAATAATTACAACCTTAACACTAGAAAAGAAGGTTGCCACAAAATAGAATTTCTGAAGCAATGTAAATCAGATGACCTATATTTTTTATCAAGACCAGATAATATTTGTGGTCCCGTTTTAAATTATCATGGGAGGAATGGGGATATAATTGAAGAAATGAACTAAAAGTTATGCTGTGTATTGAGAACCTACGTGTGGGGTGCTCTGTTTGGCTCTGGAGACACTAAAAGATAAATGGTAGTCCATTGGCCTCCTGGTAGCAATCTAAGGACACATGTGAACTGTATTAAAAGAAAAACACTTGGGGTGGCTGGGTGGCTCAGTCGGTTAAGGGTCTGACTTCGGCTTAGGTCACGAGCTCACGGTTCATGAATTCGAGCCCTGCATTGGGCTCCACTGGCAGTGTGGGGCCTGCTTGGGATTCATTCTCTCTCTCTCTCTCTCTCTCTCCCCCTCTCTCCCCGTTTCTCTCTCTCTCTCTGCCACTCCCCCACTTGCACTCTCTCAAAATAAATACATAAGCTTAAAAACACAACACTTGGGGCGCCTGGGTGGCGCAGTCGGTTAAGCGTCCGACTTCAGCCAGGTCACGATCTCGCGGTCCGTGAGTTCAAGCCCCGCGTCAGGCTCTGGGCTGATGGCTCAGAGCCTGGAGCCTGTTTCCGATTCTGTGTCTCCCTCTCTCTCTGCCCCTCCCCCGTTCATGCTCTGTCTCTCTCTGTCCCAAAAATAAATAAACATTCAAAAAAAAAAAAAAACACAACACTTAATGAGCATATAGTTTGGTGCTCAATGAGACAAAGAGGCAGTAAGTGCTCTGGGAGGCAGAGGGGGAATCCCTCCTTGATAGCTGCAGAGGTCAAGCATACACAGTTCACCAGTCATGCTGGCCTGGAAGGAAGGCACAGAGCTGAGAATGGAGAGGAAGCAGAGCAGGATACAAGGGGGGGCAGTGTCTTTGGGTAGTAAGCCCTGTTGAACTGGAGTAGAGCAGTAGATTGTGGATTGTATCGTACAGTTAATTTTTTAGATCATTGTTTTACAGACTGTACGTCGTGACCCGTTAGTGGGTGGTGAAATCAATTTAGAGGATCTAGTCCTCTGTTAAAAACAAATTTTAAAAAAGTGGAATGGAAGATGAGAATTTCATGTGTGGTGAAGATATTTGTTGATTTGTGAAACTTTTTCATATATACATACATGCATACATATATACATATATACACACACACACACACATACATATATATGGGGTCACAGTATAAAATGTATTTCTTATTATGGATCATACCCAAAAAATTTTGGAAAATACTGGACTAGAGATCAAGCCTCCCTAAAGCTATCTGATTATCTGTATCTCCCATTCGCACCCAACGCAGGGGCCTGTGTACTGGCATTTCTATCTGTTGAATAAATGGAAGGCCTTGCATGGATTCCAGCCCAAGAAGTTTACATTTTAACCTGTAGGCAGTAAAATTTGTTGAAGGTTTGTGAACAGAAGGTTGGGGGGCGGGGTGTTTTAGGAAGTTCATTTAGCAGCTATACATAGGATGTTTTGGAGAGTCCAGGCAGGGAGGAGGTAAGGAGTCCAGTTAGGAGACACTGCCTGGGCTTGGTGGCGTGTAGGACAGTCCTGGGATGGAAAGGTTGTGGCTATAATGGTGATTTGTTTTTAAGAAGTGAAAGGGATTTTTGTTTCTGGTTTCATGTAGTCCTCATTTTAGACTCATGCCACTCACAAAACTGTAGCTCATCTAATCCAGTCAATAAGCATTGACTCTGTGTGTGAAGCACTAGGTGTGGCTGCTGCATTATCACTTACTGGGGAGTTTCTCTATGGGGCACAAATTAGCTCTTGTTAGCAGCAGACTGATCTCAGGAAATGACTCCCATGAATGGGAATCCACCTGAATGCTGTAAGGATTTTATCAGGTCACAGCTCACTAAGTGCAGATCAGTTTTGATTCCGTTGGAACAGGGCACGTGAGCTCTTTGGAGATGATTGTTTTAGGGAGCAGAGCAAGAAAATAGAAATCAATGAGCCGGAGGCCTTCCCAGAGCAATGAGAGCTGTCTTTCCAGATTGGTTTTTATCCTTTGAGCCCCATTACCCTTTATTCTTACTTCTGTTTGTTTGTGTGACCTAGGAAGTGGCTCAGCTGGGGAGCAGCACGTCACAGCCACCACGGAACACAGCCATTCCTCTGCCTTCAGCACAGGACCAGTCTTTCCTGATCAACATCACCTTCTTGAAGGTTCTTCTCTGGTTGGTCTTGCTGGGATTGTTTGTGGAACTGGAATTTGGCCTGGCCTATTTTGTCCTCTCCTTGTTCTACTGGATGTATGTCGGGACACGAGGCCCCGAAGAGAGGAAAGAGGGAGAGAAGAGCGCCTACTCGGTATTCAACCCAGGCTGCGAAGCCATCCAGGGCACCCTGACAGCAGAGCAGTTGGAACGCGAGTTACAGTTTAGACCCCTCGAGGGGAGATAGGCCCTGCTCTCTTGCAGCTAGCCTCCCACATGGCTCCCTCATAGCCTCTGGACATGGGCTCGTGGGTTTGATTTCAAGTGCCCAAGACCTTATAAGAGCAGCTTGCAGGTTAGTTCTGTGGCTGTGAACTTCTGCATTCTTTCCCCAATCTTCTGCTGCGGTTTTATCATTGAACTTCTCTTTGGTTTTGGTGAAACCCCTTGAATGACACTCAGTGTGGATATGATGCCCTTTATAAAAAGTACATACTCAAAAAAGAGAGCTGTTTGTCTCATTATTTGAGAGAGGCACTTGTAAAGCAGTAGAAAGGGATTGGGGAGATAACTTTAAAACACCCAGCTGTTTGAAGGAATGGGGTGTTAAAATAAGTGTTCTCTTTAAGTCTTTTCGTATATGCTATAAAGCATTTTTTTCCCCCTGAAAAATTTAAGTTGCACGTTTTTGTTTTCTGGTTTTTTTTTGTTGCTGTTGATGATGTTTGTTTTTTCATTGTTTTTTGGTTTTTGTTTTGTGTTTTCTGCTTTAAATCTTGCTTTTTTTTTCAGTCATTAATGGTAATGAAAAATAAAACAGCTTCAAAATACCTGCTTTTCAGAAACAGATCCCCATTGCCCATCACCATCTTCCATTCTCCTCAGTTATTCTGCTCCCACTTAATGAAGGAAGATTAAGAGAAGACAGAGTCCTAAGTGACAGGTAGGGGAGGTAGATTGGTAGATTTGGTAAGTGGTTATTTATGATGAATTCAGCAAGAAAAAAATTCCTGAGTGTGTTCAGATGAGAGCTGTGGAAGTGGAACTCTAGACTTATTGGCTGTGTGGGTTGTTTCTTATATTCTGAGGGCTCTGGAGTAAGCAGTCCCTTTCTTTGCCTGTGGGCCTCTGGTGAGAAATTATGTAAATAGGGGTAACCAGACATGATTTCAGTCGTTCTTCCTCTTCCAGTACAAAGTTAGTGTTTGGGTTCATTAAAATTGGACCAAAGCAAACCATTAAATACTTTTTTTTTTTATCGATCATACTGATGAGTAAGAGGAGTCTAGTTTTAAAGCAATACTTTTTTTCTGAAACTTTTAAAATTTTAAGAAATTAGTGATTCCTCAGTAGGATTTGAACTTCAGAATTCAGTTATTCACTCACTCTGACAGTAACTTTAATATTTATGAGATATTCTTAAATAATGGATGCTTATTGCTGAATTTTTTTTTCTTTCTTGCCTGATTTGCTCACTATAGCCAAACCTTAGCTCCATTTAAATGTAACTTTTACTCATTGAATGCCAGCTCCCTGGTAGGCACTTGAGGGAAAAAGCAGACATATTCCCATTGCGCTGAGCATACAGTCTAGCTGGGAGGGGGATTGGTGGACAAAATAAAACAAGCAATAGCAATAATAGAGTGAGATGGGGTGCCTAGCTGGCTCAGTTGGAAGAGCATGCAACTCTTGACCTCAGGGTTATGAGTTCAAGCCCCACGTTGGGTATAGAGATTACTTTAAATAAATAATTTAAAAAAATAATAGAATGAGGTAAGTTTCAGTTTTAGGAGCGTACAGAGGGGATGTTCTCATGAAACACACTTTGTAGCCAACCACGTGTGTTCCAGCCCTTGCTGAAAATTCTTCCGATCTGAGGAGCAGCTTTGTCTAGCCCTTTGCTGACTGGCACTTTGGCTGTCCCTCAGAACCCTCACTTGACCAGAAGTTCTCTATAGCTAACGAAGAAGTACTTTCTTTCTTTTTTTTTTTATTAAAAAAAAATTTATTTTTATTTTTTTTGAGAGAGAGACAGAGCATGAATGGGGGAGGGGCAGATAGGGAGACACAGAATCCAAAGCAGGTTCCAGGCTCTGAGCTGTCAGTGCAGAGCCCAACACAGGGCTTGAACTCATAAACCAAACCATAAGGTCATGACCTCAGCGGAAGTCAGACACACTGACTGAGCCACCCAGGTGCCCCACAAAGAAGTATTTTCTTCCGTGACTTCTGTCTCAGCTGGGCCTCCAGAAAGTATGGGAAACAGGTGAACCCCTATTAAACAGGCAAGGTTTGATCATATTTCAGATACATGATTTTGTTTCCAGATTTATTTTCTTCAGGCTTTCTTCATTTCCCTGGATATTTTACTTGGGCTTTGACATTTCATAAAAGCCAAATACAAGGAATATTCCTATTCAGAGACTCACTACAATGCCCCGCTCAGTAAGCATTGTTCTAGGAAAGAATTCTCATTTTTAAAATGTGTAATTCAGGGGCTCCTGGGTGGCTCAGTAGGCTGAGTGTCCAACTTCGGCTCAGGTCATGAACTCGAGGATCATGAGTTCGAACCCTGCGTTGGGCTCTGTGCTAACAGCTCAGAGCCTGGAGCCAGCCTGCTTTGGATTCTCTCTCTCTCTCTCTCTCTCTCTCTCTCTCTGTTGCTCCCCCGCTTGCGCTCTCTCTCTCTCTCTCTCTCTCTCTCAAAAGTAAAGATTAAAAAATTTGTTTTAAAAATGTGTAATTCAAACTTTTACTTAAAACAAAGCACCTGTAACTCCAAATTGGGAACACATGATCCAATTAGCAATCTCAGCAAAGTGGAGACTCCGCTTGGCATAGAAGAGACTCAGCTTAGGAGTGGATCCCACTAGCATTCTTTAAAAATGTAGCTGTTTATAATGAGGTGGAGCTTGATTGCCTTAAGCCCATCTTTCATGGGATTTTCTGTGCACGATCTGTCACCTCTCCTTGCTCACCTCTCGCCAAAGGTTGCATGTAATGACAGCATTAACTTCTAGGAAAAGTGGGGTGTGAACCAATTAAATGCGTGGCAGGGGAGAGAGGAAAGGACAGTATGTATTTGCTGTTCTTATCAGACCATTAAGCTTTAGGTGCAGTCTTGATTTCCTGAATTTAGAAAGGCCTATTGATCTCAGAATTTCCACTCAGGGCCTGACCATTAGCTCAGCAAGCAGCTTCCATTAAAGGCTGCTTCTGTCACCAGGGAACTTGAAATCCCAGAGATGCATTCAGTCCCTATGATTGCTGTGTGCACTGTGCATAGGTGAGGTCATTTCTGTCCAAATCTTACAAGTAAATTGGCTTTTGCTTCTATTCATATTGTCCCATCTTGTCTACTCACAGAGACTGTTAAATGAACCTCTACTTGTAGGGCTGGAATGGACCCCAAAATGCTATCAGATGTATCCCCCTTGCCTTGGGCAAGGACCGCATTTATTCCTGGCCAAATATTTTTTTTTTTCCTGGTGACTCCTAAAGAAGAAGAATCCGGGTACAAGATTTAGGCACTTCTTAGGAAATACTTAACCGAAAGACTTGACCCCCAATGCCATCGCAGGTTATTTTTTATCTAATCTCAGGGAACATGGAACATCCTCCAGACTGGTGAACTGTTACTCTGTTCTCGCTCAGGTTTCTCTGTTCTCCAGACTAAATCATCCACATCGTACCTCTGGGACAATCACTTTCAAGCTAACCCTGACACATTCTGAGGGTTCCAGTTCAGGACAGAGGTGAATGTCACAGTTGGTGGGTACAATGACTTTTCTCAAAAGCTCTAGAGTTGTAACAGTGATGATCTGGGCATATGTATTTTGTGCTATTAGGATTGTACTTTGAGTCTAGGAGGTCTTTGACATTTGCCTTTTGACCGATCTCTGCTCATAAGCTCTGTGCTAAAATCAAAAGAATAAAAAATAAAGGAAGTTACACAATCGACAAAACCAATGATCGTCATCTGGGCAGAAGAAAGTGAAATTTTGTGTTTTGTTTCCTGCCACTCACACTGTTAACCAATATTTGTATTTAGGCTTGGCGCTGCTGGGGAACCCATAAGTGAGCTTGAGCAGACAGTCCATCCACCGTAAGAGCCAGGATACCTGGTGGGGCTGGGATGCCAATGAGCATCTTGCCACCAGGGGGTAGCATAGAGCTGCTGCTATACATCCTGGTCCCTTCTCCCCACACTTGGGAACTTAAGTAATGTGGGAAACCCACCGGGATGTTTATCTGAACCATTTGTGCTGCTTTTTCTGATGTTCTTTTCACTTCAAGATTCACAAAGGAAAGGGCTCATCAAAGGTCCTGGAAAAGGCACGGAAAGCTACCAGGAGTGATTTATACCGATATTTTAAAATAAAACAACAACCCCCCCTCTAGACTTAGCAGGCAGTATTGCCCATCTGCCCATCTTTATCCATTTATCCATCAGTCTGTCTTCAGGTTTGGGTCATTTCTTATGAAGAGAATCAAAAGCCTAACATAGTATCAACTGTGGACGTTGGTGCAGCAACTAATCTTTTCTAGGCCAGGTGCCAGGCTCTGATGATCAGTTATCACATTGATAATGAAGGCAAGGTCCCTTTTCTTAAGGAGCTCACAATCAAATGGAAGGGGCAGCCAATATTCAGACAGTTACCACAGGATAGTGTGGTAAGTGCTATGAGAGTGTGCGGTCTAAATGAGGGCCAGAGCAGAGAAAAAGAGGTTTCAGAACCCTAGGGTCAAGAAGGGCCTCCTGAAGGTGATATTGTATTGAGTTTGAAAGAGCATCCGGTACTCCCCCAAAAAACAGGGGCAAAAGGGCTTTTTAGTCACAGGAAACCACCTGGCAAAAAGGTGATAATCTGGAGGGAGAATTGCTTGCTTGGGAAAAAGTGATGCATTCTGAGAACGTGTATTATTTTTTCCAACTGGTTGTTAACATATATATAAGCTATTGATTTTGGTGTATTAATTTTGTTATAGCTCTTGTCCTTTATTGAGTTTTCTTACTAATTATAATGGTGTTTTACTCGTTTTCCTGGATTTTCCATGTAGATAATTATTTTCTTTTCCATAAACATAAAATTTAACTCCTCTTTTTCCAGTTTTTTTTACCTCTTGTTTTTTCCTCTTTGTCTAACAACATTGGCTAGAACATCCAGAAAAATGTTAAATCAGAATGATAGTCAGTGATGTCTTTGTCTTGTTCTTGACCTTAATGAGCATGCTTTAGTATTTTCCCATTAAGCATGATGCTGTCTCTGGGATAAATGGAGAGATAATTATTCATCTGTATTTATGTTATTAAAAGGTTTTTTTTTCCTTCTTAAATTAAGAATGGATTTCACATTTCACAAAATCTCTTTCAGTGTAGTGGAGATTATATGACTTTTCTCTTTGACCAATTAATGTAATCAGTTATATATTTACACATATTAAACCATCCTTTTATTCCTGGAATGAGTGACCCTTGATTTTAATGTACTGTTCTTTTATTTTTTT